GGGGAGAGTCCTGACCATGCTGTGCCTGGGGATGATGCCATCCAGCTGGATGACACTGATACTCAATCCCTATTTGATGGGTTTGAACCAGAGCTGGTGCTCAACGTGAAAGGTGTTTCGTTTTTCAACGAAATTGAAAGGTGCTATAGAACTTGCCATTGAGATGGAGAAGAGATCATTAATCAATGTCAGGCACACGCGATCAAGAGGCTCTGGGCAGAATTTACCTAATGTCCAGGCAATTGCTATTGAATGAGCTCTTAGAATAAGACGGGTCAGCTAATTATGCGTCATTTTCAATTTTTTTACTACCCTAAGGTGTTAATTTGGGTTTAATAAGCCTATTAAAGTAGTGATGGTTTTACCTATTAAATGTTACCCATTTTAGGTGCGTGCAAAAATTTTATGTAAATTTAGTAGCTATCATTCCTTCATTGTAAAAACCTTGGGCCATCATCGGTGTTGATGTTAAATAGTGCGTTTTTATTTTCGCCTTCTCCTATTGGGGACCATTTTGATTTTGCCAGTGGGGGAACAGTAAAGACTGTAATTGATATCAATCTGCATACTAATAATGTATTGTAAGGTAGCTCTCATTATGATGAAGAGAATTGTACCTCTGTGTTGCGTTAGAATTTCTCTTTGTTATTTGATGTAGTTTTAATTATTGGTTGTGGTGTTTGTAAATTTAAAGTGTATGTAATTAAATTTTTTACCTTAGGAATTTGATTGCAATTTTCTTCTTAATTTTGTGTAAATATGTGTGTAAAATGTGTAAGTTAAGAATTCCTTACTGGAATAATACATTTTTCAACTGAGAAAAAGTTAAAGTTAAATATTTTTAAACTCACAAGAACCACAAAGGCTTGTGCTAGTGGGGGGGGTATGTTGCAGGGGGAGCTGTATTGCTTTTTAGCCCAACCCTTTGGCTTTCATGCTTGTTTATTTAATGTCTGTGCTGTTTTTTCTCATTATGTAATTTTTCTGTTTTTCTTCTCTAGTCCAGACAAGGAAGTAAAATTATTACTGTAAAGGCAAATTCCAAAACTAAAGCATAATCCTAATGCAAAATTCCAATGAATAACTAATAACTGCACCAGTATGGGAACCTAAGCTAACTCATCACTTGAGAGGAAGTGAGTGATTATTTATTGCATATATTCATTTTATTACTCAATTAATGTTGTATTACAAATTATTTATTGATTTTGCTTTGTTTTGATTTTCTATTAATTGTGTTCAGTGTGTATTAATTCTGCAAGCTATATTATTTTGGTGTTTATTAATTCTTCATTAAGCTGTTTACTGCAATACAAGTTTGATATCATCATAAGGTTCTTGATCATTACTGTTTTTCTGCTTGTTAATTTAACCCATTAATGCCGAGCGGTTCCATTTGGAACCAGCGGAAAGAAATTGATTCATAATAAAATTGTATGGTCAAATCAATATACTAGTGGATGCGTAGGTTTTATACACATCTTGGACGCGTTCTGGCAACGTTTGGTTCAGCTGCGCCGACTACTCCCTGCTCAGTTAACATTTAAAGATTGTAAGTACCAGGTGTCAGACAGGAGGGCTTGACATCATTGCAGAGAAACGTAAGTAGTTCGTTCTAAAAATATATTATTTATTTGTATTTTGCATGTTTCAATTCAAGTTTAATTTAGCTAGTAAAAAAATGGCATCATTTATAAAAAAAAAAGTGGTCTAAGTTACCCCATTTTACGGTATGAAAAATTGGAATATAAACCTCTTGTCTTTAGTGTGTAGTACGTTCCAATGAATTGTACCTATGTTTTTGGTACAGAGACATCAAGTGTTGCAACACATTGCATATAGCTAGCAGCTTAGCAAATTCTTATAAGGATATAAGTAGTCTTTAACTATTTGTTATACCTATATTAATTACATTATACAATTTACATGTTTTAGCTAGCTTATAAATTGAGAAGTTGAGATTGTATTGATCCTTTAGGCATTTAGGAAGATTTTTAATCCTAATATGAGTACCAGTATTCTAATTAAAATATTTAATTTCAATCTTTAAATATGTGAACTAGATGTGAACCTAAATTTAAAACTAGAAACAAAACAATTACAATTATAAAACTAGGTATGTACAAAATAATTAAATGCAGCGAATGGAAAAAAATACTTAAATAAAACTTAAAAAAAAACACATTTTTCTTGTGGACTAAAAAGTAGAAAGTAAATTATGGCTCGTCCCAAAAAACGTGTGTCAGGCAGATTTATGATTGAAGCAAAAAGCACACAACACACGAATTTTGGAAATTTGATGGTGAACGTACAGCCCAACCCACATTTTATTGGGGCGAGCCATAATTTACTTTCTACTTTTTAGTCCACAAAAAACGTGTTTTTTAAATTTTTTTTTAAGTATTTTATTTTCTACTTTTTAGTCAACAAGAAAAATGATTAAGACTTGATTAAGTATGATTTGACGTACGTATCGATGATACGCAGCGTTAGCGCCTGCTCGTCTATAACGTGAGCGCCCGCACATCATACTATATATATACCGGTAATATTGTTACCGTGTGTCTCTAGCGGGTGAGACAAACTCGTTGTCTGCTTATGAATTTAGAGGTAACTATCTAAGTGGAAGGATAATGAAACACTTTCTCTATAAAATTAGTTAAGGGATCTTGTACAAAATTAATCAAAACAAGTGACTGAAGTAAACAAAATAAACTATGGAAAAGACTAATAAAAGTGGTGTGTAGATTGTGAGTGGTTATGCTAAAAGTGAACTAGAAATTAGACTTTAGAGTTTGGGCAGGCGGAGGTGGTTCGTGTGCCAGTTAACTGAAAAGCATAACTAAAATTAATTGACGGAAATTAAATTGGCAACACTCATGACAATGCTTTGGAACATGAGAAATATTTTAAGGTAATTTAACCACTCATGGCCATCATGCCAATTAAGACAATAAACATGCTTGAAGCATTAATTAGTGGAACAGAAAACGGAATCATAGTTAGTGAACAAATCAATGAATGTGAACGAATCAATGAACAATGAACAAATCAAGATTCCAAGGTTAAAACTCTGAACTTAATGACTGTAGATAATTAACTGAACAAATGATATAACTTGACTAAAAATGTTAATGAATCATATCGGCACTTTAGAAAAGCATCACAAACATGGGACAGAATAGCTGGTACAGACTAAATAAACACATAATACAATCACATAATAAAAATGCACATTCAGAAAAACCTTGCAATGACAACAGTTAATTTAAGAACCAAAAGCCTCTATTGAAAATTGTGAAAATGAAGCTTAAGTAAGAAATACTTAAGCAAGATAGTGACGCTCAGACACTTAGCATCATCTTACCATTAGCCTGAAGGGGCAACAACAGCAGTAAACTCACCTAGGCAATAGTCCTTCTAACAAGCAATAATAGCCTTCTGACTTCCCAATTGATCAGACAAATTACCACAGCTTCACATCAAGGCAATGACACTGGTAATGGAAAATAAATTGAAGCTGGAACGAGATAAGAGAAAACATGGCAATGTTAATAATGAATACATCAGATATAGGTTGAAATCAGCTAAATGGGAGAAGGCAGTAAGGGATGTGCTAAAACCTAGCTTAATTGTGCTCCCTGCAACAATATATATATACTTAACTCAATTAAGCTAATTTAGGTCTCTAATTGCTAGTTTTTATGATTGTATCTGAAATTGTTAGGCGAAAATAGCATGCATGCCGAATTTCAGATCTCTAGAGCAATCAGAAGTGGGCTAATTTTTGTTGTCAATGTTAACAACAAACAAACAAACAAACGCGAAGCTAAGTTAAGAAAAACGTGTTAAATAAAATGTTTGAATTGTGCACATGTTTATTTCAAACAGTATTAGCTTTTCTCATAACATGAGTCTCATTTCAAGTTGTTTGAGGTTTGTTTGGTTGTCATTCAGTTTATTTTTAGTATTTGTTTAATTGTCTGAATCAAATGGGAACATTGCAGTCAGTCACTCAGTCACTACTAGTTGGAATGTTTAGAGGGTAAAGTCTGATAGATTTATAGGACATAAAACTAGTAGATCTATTGAAAGTGTTGTGCACTGTGCAATTAGCTACCTATCTGTTATATGACTCTTCAATGTTTAGAAGATCTACATTCCTGAAGTGTTTTTGTATATTGAAGACAGTTCAATGGTCAATATTTAGCTCGTTACCTTGCTCCATACAAACTTTAAAAAGCTAATGAATAGACTTATCAATAGGGTAAATGTTTACCCAAAAGTCCCAAAGTGGTAATCACCACCTTGGCCATTCTTGAAGGCAATAACTGCCCTTTTTAACCATCCATATACTGTTATTGTTAGAAAGCTTGTTGCAACAAAAAAAAAAAACATTTCAAAAAGACAAATAGGCTGAAAAAAAATGTCAAAAATAAAATAAATACTGAAAAAAACTAAAAAATCATTGATTTTTTATTTTTTCTTCGATGAGGGTTTCAAAGATGATGGCAAATTTGTTTTCACTATTTCATTAATAATTTCTTTCTTGTTTTGGATCTAATCCCAGTTTTTACAAAATGCAATACCTCTGCCCAAAGTTCCTCAAATAGCCTGATAGCTTTAAATGTTACAGTCTCAAGTACATTACAAATTTTTTCAGAGAAGATAGTTTTAACAATTTGCTAAAGATCTGCTTGAGGAAATATTCTGACTCTGACTAGTCTACTAAGATTATCGACTGATATTTACTCATATTATTTATATATATGTTCCATACACCATTAATCAGATGTATATTGGTAGAAGTAAAATTCATTTGATATTATGATCTTCCTTTTGAAGTAATTTTTCAAAACATTTGTACTTATCTACTACCTATATATCCATTCATTTACCCAGACTATGTTGACCAAATTTTTCTTATATTATACCATGGGGTGACCTGATTTTACATACCTATATGTTACTCAGTTTAAATATATTTATTCTCATTTTTCAGCTATGACATGGTGCACTTTGGACATGCTAACTCACTGCGCCAAGCTAAGGCTATGGGTGACTACCTGATAGTTGGTGTGCACACAGATGAAGAAATTACCAAGCACAAAGGCCCCCCAGTATTTACTCAGGCAGAAAGGTACCTGGTTTAATTCTGTATATATAATAGTAGATTCATCATTTATTGGCTCTTGTTCTTAATATTTAACCAAACAAAATTACATAATTAACTTGCAGAGTCATGAATAAAAAATTATTTTACTTGCTTGTGTCCTTATTAGAAAAAGATAAATTACAGTGGATTATTTCATCTAAAGCTTTTTTCTAAAACTTTTGGCTTGTTACTGATGGTTAGATAGACATTATTTCTGAAATTTTTTTTTTAATATATGCAGGTACAAAATGGTGCGAGCTATCAAGTGGGTGGATGAGGTAGTGGAAGGTGCTCCATATGTCACCACACTGGAAACTTTAGACAAGCATGACTGTGATTTTTGTGTGCATGGTGATGACATCACCATGACAGCTGATGGTATTGACACATATCACATAGTGAAGTCAGCCAACCGCTACAAGGAATGCAAGCGCACAGAAGGTGTCAGCACCACTGACTTGGTGGGACGAATGCTACTAATGACACGTCAGCATCAGCAGGTGAAGCAATTAGCTTTTTATCATTAATGCCTCATTATTCCGATCATTTTTTCATGTGCCACTTCTGATACGTATGTAATTAGTGCTAGGAAATTTATTACACTGTAAACGATTTGGAATAGTGCATCAGATGATTTTTCATGATATCAGTTCATCCACATATACCTAAGTATTAGACTGAAGTGCAGTATTTGTTAAAGACAATAGAGTAATTATTACCAACAATTTTCATGGTGTTTTTCTTGTATTGTCATATGAGACTTATTTTTTTATTTGGAAACTCAAATATGAGGTGACAAGTATTCATAAGATTTGAACATTCTGTATAATCATTATAATAATCAAATAACTTTATGTTTTGCAGTTATTGAAAATAGAGGCTTTTGGAATGACTCTCAAATATTAATTGACAACAAATGCAACTGCTGGCTGATGTTAGGAGTTGAAACTCCAGTCTGGGTATCCAAAATGTTGTTCTCTGTACTGTAAATGCCCAGTTAAGATATTGCATTTAGTTGAAACGAGTAGAAGTGGGCATGGCATAACGGTATTAGAGATCTTGATCTCCGATTTGTAACAATATTTTGGTGAAAAAAAAAACACTGCTACCTACTAATTTTGATTATGTAAACTTTGTACCAAGTAGTATAAATTTCAAAACTTTTTTTACTGCTCATTGTTCTCATAATTTACATTCTACCTCTGTAATGATTTGTGCCAAGACATATACATGTAGTCAATTTTTTAATATCACAATTAAACAGATACATTAAAGATCACCTAACAGGTTGCATCCAAAGAGATATACATTTGATAGTTATATGGTAGGTAATAAATTAAGTCATTCTTATTTGGGTACTAAAATTAAGCATATGTAGAGATTCATGCAGTACCCCTTGACAGGTTGGAGCATCAGAGTACTCAGTAGACGACGGTCACAGCACAAGCCTGAGTACGGACGCCAGCGCTCGCTCGCCATGGACGGGCGTGTCGCACTTCCTGCCCACCACGCGCAAGATCATGCAGTTCTCCTCCGGCCTCGTGCCTAAGGTAAGCTAATATCTACATATTCTTATAATTACTATAATGCAGTTCTCCTCCGGCCTCGTGCCTAAGGTAAGCAAATATCTACATATTCTTATAATTATTATCATGCAGTTCTCCTCCGGCCTTGTGCCTAAGGTAAGCTTATATCTACATATTCTTATAATTAGTATAGTTAGCGAGAAGTTCTTCATTTATCTAGGTTTGATTGAAGACCAGAGCATACTTTTTATAACAATTTACTTATTGTTTTTTTTAGCGCATTTTCTCATTTATGAAAAAATACACTCTTGTGCTCGCCATGTCCGTCTGTCTGTCTGTCTGTCCGTCCGTCCGTGACCTCAAGTTTTCGTCGACGAGAAAATGCGCTCTCTGTCACTCACTGCAGTGAGTACTGAGTTATTGTTTTTTTTTTCAATAAGCCAGACAAAATTTCTTGTTGGCGCTTGGAGATTGAAAAGCAGATTTGACATGAGATTTATATTCTTATGATACTTGTACTATTCTATATTAGGTAGTAATAATCCTTCAATAAGGTTACAAGAATTGTTGCTAATGTTAATTATATCAATCAGCCTGGTAACAAGACCTAACAGCAAGACAAAGATTACTTTTTATAATTAACTATTGTAAAATAGACTTTACTGGAACACTCTTGTGCTGCCACTTTAAGTGCTAGAGTTGTTAATATTTGAAACTGTTTAGCTGCTATTCAATATTGTCTTCTTATTCAATATCACGGCATCTTTAAGTAATACCATGGTAATTACTAATAATTAAATCTTTAAATAATAATTAATAAGTAATAATTACTCCTGCTTGCAGCCCGGAGACCGGATTATTTACGTGGCTGGTGCGTTTGACTTGTTCCACGTGGGTCACTTGGACTTCCTGGCAGCTGTGCGTGAGAAAGGCGACTTTCTGATCGTTGGTCTGCACACCGACCCTGCAGTCAACCGCTACAAGGGCGCCAACTACCCCATCATGAACCTCCACGAGAGGGTTGGTGCCTCGTCCACTGTCCTTATTTTTCCTGCCATTATTAATTATCTTTATCTGCTGGACTTACTTAAATGCTCTAATACTAATCGTTTTATTCTGGTAGAACTACTTATTTTATTGCACTAATGTACTTCTTTCTAATTGCTCGTATATAATTCAATCTGTTTTCCATAAACAAATACGTAGTCTTGCATTATTTTAAAGAACACTAATTGTTTTGCTAAAATCGTTCACTTTCATTCAAATTGACGCAATTTATTTCAAGTTTAGTGCCTACCTTCTCAATATGCGATGAAAATCCCTGAGGTTTAAATTTAGATAGAGCACTGAACTTCATTCTCTAGAGTCTACTCTCAAAAGACGATCATTTTTGTTATAAATATGGCTGACATGCCGCGCTTCTGTCTGTTCAATTAGTTGCCAATTATAAATAATAATGTAACTATTCAAATTACTAATCTACGAACGTACATTTTAGGGTGAGTACGTCAAAATAAGTATTAGTAATAGTTCAGCTATGATTGGTTTGTTGCCGTCTGGCTAAAAACTAAAGGCACTCGCACGATGAATGACCAATCACCAGATCCGATCTCTGGGCAAACATTATCCATTATTTAATGAAAACATGTTAGCACCCTACAAACATGACTCAAGAAATGCTGTGTGTGTGCAGGTGCTGTCGGTGCTAGCGTGCAAGTACGTAAGTGAAGTTGTGATAGGAGCTCCATACTCGGTCACGGACGACCTCCTGGATCAGCTTAAAGTGGATCTCGTGTGTCACGGCGCTACAGAGATCAGCCCTGATGAAGACGGCAGTGATCCCTACCAGGTCAGAAATGCTCAGTGAAACAAGCCTAACTAAATTAATATTCATTGTAGATGACAAACATGATGGAGAAGATGAATGAATCTGTTGGTCACTTTGAGAGGATGAACTCATTATGAAGAACATATCGATGAATTTAATTTCGCTGTTTATTTTTGTGATCTATACCGTACTTTTTATCATTGGTTAACTCGCCTATCGAAAAATTACGTTGTCTTTTTGGAGTGCAGGTACCGAAGTCTCGGGGAATTTTTGAGATGGTTGCGTCGGGCAACTCGATGACGACTGACCGCATCGTGGAGCGCATTATCGAACACAGGCTGGAGTTTGAGTTGCGCAACAGAAACAAGGAGAAGAAGGAGAGGGCGGCCTTCAAGGCTTATGTCCAGGCTAAAGAACAGGGCAAGAACACCATCGATCGGATCGTCGTCGAATGAGAGAAAGGTCATAGGCAGAGGTTTAATGACATCAAAGTCTATAAATATATATATCAAATAAACTTTTATTTGCTGCGTTGCCTATCTTATTGAAGACAGATGTTAGTAGATACAACTTGTACCCTTGAATGGAATGGAGTTATTCTTCGAAAATTATGCTTCATTTCTACATGAAACATATATCTATCTAATTATTTTATAATTATTTTAACTTTCAACTTTCTGGTACTGCCTTCTTACTTAAAAGCCATCTTTTTATTTGTTGATAACATCGAATTGTTTGTCACAACATTATTTGATTGTGTGCGTGGATTGATCACAATAATTTTAAATATATTTTACTCTCATACGCTTCACTAAACAGTGCCATGTATTGCAAAGCTTTGCCCAACCTGAGCACAGCAGAGCGTCACAAGTTGCTAGTGTTGCTTAGATAACGAAAATTTTTATAATGGTGACAAATTACGTACATATTCCTCTTGAATAAATAATCATTTTAGGATGCGTTCATGTCACTGATATCCTGTCGATTCATTTCATAATATATGAAGCTTTTATTTATTTTCTGACACCTAGCGGAATTTTTTATTTGTACCAGACTCGTACCTACCTTATAGTGAATGAAAATTCCTTTCATGTTACATTGGGTGTTCGTTGTTTGAGTAATTTTTTATTGTTTAACCTTGTCATTATTAATTGTGTTGCATGTCTCTGATCATATTGATCGCATGCATTTTCAAGCCTACGATCTTAAGTCTTGGCTTTGGAACCTTCATAAACAATAATAATCACTGGAAGTATTATCTCTCGCGCTAACAGCACGAGCTCTGGTGGCTTTTACGTGAGGACATTTTAAAACGATCGTCGAAATTAATTGTTCCCTCGGAATTATTATGCACTCGTATTGAGGTGGGGGTAATTCTTTGATAGACAATACTGTCTATGTTGCAAACTCTGACGTGTTTTATGACGGACTCGGGTAATTTGTATGTGCGCGGTTATGCACTCGTATTGAGGGTGGGTTAATTCTTTGATAGGCAATACTGTCTATGTTGCAAGCTAACGCGTTTTATGACGGACTAGGGTAATTTGTATGTGCGCGGGTTATGCACTCGTATTGAAGGTGGGTTAATTCTTTGATAGGCAATACTGTCTATGTTGCAAACTAATGGGTTTTATGACGGGCTCGGGTAATTTGTATGTGCGCGGGTTCCATAACAGCGTTTTTTCATAACTATCATTATCACTTGTGATTCTTTCGTCCCACTCTTGCTATAAAAAGTAACTCATTATTTTCCTTGTATTATTATTGGTCTTCACGAGCAGTTAAGTACTTAAAGACGTTATATGGCGGTCTTATTGAATCACACTTTTTTCAGTACTGAATGATTATTGATTGTACAAATGCTGGCGAGTTTCTTAGCTGCTGATCTCCCTGCTGCTCGTTCCTGTTGTGTAATGTCTTACTCATGGGCGGCCAAAGTTTTTCAACGGATCTCCAAAGTTATTCACAAATAGCGGTTTTTTCTCACTATCTGTTCTAATGGTAGCCAGTGAACGTCGACTTTGTTACCTTCCTTAGTTTTCCAGTCAACTAATCATTGCCTAGACTTGTAGCAAGTATTGTCAATCGCCTTTTCCATTTCCGATCCTGATATTTTAATCTTAAATTTCATTTAAGTAAGCGAATTTAATGGGAGTTTTGTCGGGGTTCTCGAAACCAGTACAGTTACTGAAAGAAATATCTGTTGGTTTAATGGGTTGACGATGATAAGACTACCTTTATGTGGTATGCCAATTTCAACTGCGATGTCGTCTTATGTGCGGTGGTTCATTCTCGAGGTATGAATGTTCTTACTTAATACTGTGCATGTAACTAGTCGTATGTTCCTTAAAATATTGCATACTATGCCTTTTACTAGACTAGTCAACAATTACTTATAATACTCAAGCTTTATGACAGTGTCAGTCATTGATTTAAAGTTCAATATGTTTTACCTCAACTATTCTTCTCGATTGGTGACCTTATGATGTGCTCTGATGTCTACTTACGTTCACACTCGCCAAGAATAATAAATCTACATAATTGAAAAGTCAGATATGACCAGATAAATAGCGATGTGTTCGCAGAATGCTTCAACTCACACAGGCGTCCGGCGTTACAGTCACGAAACGCTCTTATTTGTTAGCGTTTAGTTACTTGAATGATCTAAGTGTTTGGATGTGACAGTGTTGTCTCTAATCTGCTGAAGCTTATTGTTTTTATTTTCTTCAGAGTTTAATGCGATTGATTCATTGAAGTCGTGTATTCAGCACCGCTTGTTGCATACAAATCTGGAATGATAAGGAGCTCTGCTATTATATTTGGTATTATTCCATCATATGAGTGAGAACAAGCAGCGCGTTTGGTAGCTTATGGGGCTTTTTATCTGACCGTGCAGGATTTGAAGAATGCGAGACTTGCTTTCCGCTAAGTTGTTGTAATGCGTGCGTGCTACTCCAGCTCAATTAATCGGTGTCAAGATCTTATGTTCAGTGACCTGTTCAACTTACGTCGTGCAATGTTTTTACCGAGTCGCCCTTAGTGCTGTGGTTTTGAGGTCAATAAATGGTGTCCAATTTTATACAGAAACTAAATTCCTAGCTCCTGATATTATAAGTCTGAAAATGTTAGTCTAATTTAATGGTAAATCAAAATAATGGTAAAAACATGTTGTGCGACAAACTCGATAAACTCTGGCCACGTTTCTGAATTAAGTATTATTTTCGCACATTATTACTATTCATTAACGAAATTTGTACTTTCAACTTGAACTGCCATGCTGGTCATACAGACCACTCATGAAACTGTTACAATTATGTCACATTTACTGGTTACTATGTCGTTGAGTGACTTGTCTTTCAATTCAGGTAAAATTATAAAAAGTTTCTATGTCATTTAAATGAGCTATTCTATTCTTTGATACTCCGCCGCTCAACGACCTGGTTTAGGAATTTGTGTAGGTAATTGATGAGCTTCATTAAATTTCCCGCTGTGTCGGACTTAGCTGTGATAAATGTATATTGTATTCTCATTTGGGAACGACTAGAGACAACGTATTCATCTATTCACTCTACTGCTTCCGAGTAAGATCTCTTAAATTCATTACGCCTTATTCAGAGAGATGTAAACAAATGCTACCGTCAATGCTGATAACGTCGCCACAGCACTCAAATCGCCAGCCTTCAATCCAATCGATCTATTTTATAAATAATACTGAACCACATCTTTCCAGCTTGTTAGAGAAAACTCTTAAGTTATTACGTGGCAATCTAACCCTGCAAATCGTAGTTCTGGCGAGTATTTTTCAGATTTTGCTGCAGTTTCTGCTGAGTGGCAACCTAAGTGTTATTGGCAGGCAGCATATTACCCACTCAACATGCGGGAAAAAGGCTTCTAATTGACGTTTTGTTTACGAATTAGATTTTCATGCAGTCCACAATTCAGTTTTATCCTGTTCCGACTTTATGGTTTGCTATAATTTGACATTCGACCTTCATGTTTCACTAGGCTCTCAAATCCACAGAGTTTTTTTTATCCCCTATTTATCCCTTAACTTATTCCTCGCATCTTTACTGGTTTTACTTGTAAGTGGAATTAACTTATTATATTTAATCAATTGATTTGCTTGTGTATTTTGATTGTTTAATTTACGTCTTTTTAGTCCGGTGTTCTCATGTGATTTGTTCATGAAGCAAGTGCCTGCAGTATACTCGCTGCTGACGTCCCATTGCACGTCTCCAGACTCGCTGCAGACGTAAAATTTCAGTAAAAAATGACTTCGTAACGTGACGGAAACGTAAGACTACAATTGTTTTCTTTGAATTATCTATCTTACTTCTTCGTAAAATTACAGAGTTATCAATGTACGTGAATCGGCTTACGACGTAACTGCATTACTGACAATATATTTGTGTGATAATTCCAACTGATTCTTTGGCTTACGTCAATATTACTAGCTACAATATGGCCTCGCTGCTATCGATGTATTAGCATTATCATTTCACTAGCGGATCCCTCGCCTGCACAAATATCAGCGAATGATTGTTTGTGTGCCGTAATTTAAGTGCGTTACCAGAATTTACTCGCTTTTATAGCTTTTATCATGTTTTCCTGCATGCTTTTGTGTTACCCTGAATTACATTCGTACGTATCTGGACAGCGACGAGTTCTACATTCCCCCTAACTTCGGTAGCCTGACGACTCGCGGCAAGCGAGGTTTCGACATCGTTTGTCTGAGACCTTAGAGGCCAAGAGATGAATTTAATACAACATATTGGTTGGTGCGAATTTGTATTAAAAATGTGAACTGTACATTAAGTCTATATGTACAGACCTAATAACACGTTAAATAAATAATTCGTACGAAACAAGATTAAAGCTGATACGTGAGAGGTGATTACAGTTCGTCAGATTTGACCGAGAGAACTTGTACTGGCAGTCCGCATTGATATAATTCATCAGTTGGATTACGCTGCTTTCGTTCCCATTGAGTGGAAGAAGTATGCACAAATTTTTTATGCCAACCACACACAAGCCTGTAAACCAAAGTGTTCGTAGGAAACTAGTGCGCCAATCTATGTAATGCATGCACGTGGATTATGCACAAGTAGTAAAATTAGAAAACTTAGCGGTCTTTGGTTAAATAGCAACTTACAGTTGAGAGAAAAGTCGGTCATTTTGCAAGCAGCAATAATGAAAGCGAAGCTACATAAGCTGACCATCCATCATCACAAGGTATAAATCGCCAAAAAAAAGAGTCAAGCAGAAGGTATCGATACAAGTTCTTTCCAATATGGAACTAAGATTCGCTGCTCGGCTTCGGGAGGACTGCGTGGACACCGCTTAATGTGGTGAGCGAGAAGAAGCGTCAGAGACGAAGAAGGAAAGATGAACAGCGCCAGGAATGGCGGCTCGTAAGTCGTCTGTCGCCACTCGCAACCACGGTTGAACGAGCGCTGCAAATCCTGCCCGCGCAACAGCTTTAACTCATAGCCGAGACCACGCGTTCTGCAGTGTGGCGTTCAGGAACAGCCTATCGAGGTCGCAAGACTGACTTCCAATAACGTAACGATCGATAAAGATCGACATAAAATGACAGCCCATACAAAATTTGTGACAATTGAACAGAATAAGATTCTATCAGGTTAATCCATTGCGACTACACAATTATTCATTTTGTTATCCTCATTCATCATTGAGGGGCTGAAGACTGTCAACTCGCATCGAAATGTTTGAATAATGAGCCGGTAGTCCTACAATACATGAATTTGAGTGAATGCAGGGAAATGGTCGCTGATCTAAACTTGCAAGTAAGTTTGATGAAAATGAATACATGAAGGAATGCCCTGATTGCGCCTTGTGTATGATCTATTCTATGGGAAGAGGAGCAACAATGGAATCTGAACCTCATCTTATTCTTAACCCAAAGTGACGAGAGAATTAATTCAAGTTTAAACACAACGTTCTTTATCCTTGATAAAAATGCACATAGAAATTTCAATCATGTCAACGCCCGTAAATCAATCAATTTTAAGTAATAATAATTGTAGAAACTGAAGCAATCTTCGCCTCGTTAACGTTTATCAAGTTGGTGTTAGGTCAAGTTTGGGACAAATGAACTTAGAGGGGACGTAGTGACTTCGACATTACGATAACTTTGCAAACAGTGAATTTTGCAAGATTTTTCTGAATGCACGGCCAGTATTGTGAGCTGCAGTGAGACTTGATACCAAACCCTGTAACACTAATGGGGTGCATCTCATAAGCCTTATTTACGTGGAGTCCAGGGCCCATACTTTCCTATAAAGTCCAGGGCCCATACTTTCCAAAAAAAGTTAAGATATCGTAAGTTCATCAGCCAATCATTTACGGCCTTTCGAGCATAATCCACCAATCATAGACAAGAAAATAGAGCGTAAGTACTTACGTCCACTTAGCGAGTTTTGAAAGTGTGGCCCCAGGGCGAAAACACGCTAGCCTCGAACCAAATAAAAGTAGCAAAAAAACATTTAGAATAATGAAATAAATTAATGCAAGTTAAATTGATTTGAGACTACGCATGAGAAAACTAATCGTAAATAACAACTTGAAACTGGGGACTCGTTGCCGAGATGACGACATGATATTGGATCTGACTTACAACATGAAATATACGAGATAATTCCGTGCCACAAAAATCAATCACAAACAGTTGCTAAGGACTTTAGAAAATACTGTAATGACTTCATACGCTGATATGAACACAGCTGGAAAGCTTAGACGAATATATCGTCGCTATATGTCAGATGAATCTTTCAGTTCGCGAATAAGCGCTAAATAGCAAACGACTAACATAACTATAGCACAATAACGATGAAAATATCAACAAGGCACAACAAATTCCCCAAAAGCAAGCAAAGAGGTTCATACTTTGCATAAATTGTTTTCGTCACTATTGAAGCCTTATATCAAGAAATAACTTATATGGACGAGATCCCAAGTCGAAAAAAAACGACTTAAATACGCTGTGCTATTACTTACTCTATCATCACAAGATCGCTACGTCTGTATAAGAGGCTCGAGTTCCCAAAACAAAACAATATAATAACAGTATACATGAATATTATACATAGATAAGAACTAGGATCACAACGGATGAATATGCGGTATTTAATTCTGTACATTAGACCCTGCATTTGGCTCTGAATTGAACCACTCTCTAATGCCGGTAGGCAGAATTACAAGACTGATTTTTAATTATCATAAAGGAAATTGTAACTCTTAACCGAGTTCATCTAACACCTTAACTTGTACGCATTTCCTAGCCACTCACATCATTTTCGATTTTAGACTAAACATCAAGAGATTAACCACATTACCGGAGCCCAGTTGTATGGTTTAGTGATATTCTGGCGCGACAGCGAACTATAAATCGCAGTAAATATATAATGTGGATGCCACGAGATTCCCTACGTGATTGCATGTGTCAGCAGGACAACTTGTAACAAAATATTGATTATAGTCAGAGCTCTATGATTTTTTACTAATTGCGTATAAAAGAAGTCTTTCGTTATTTGAATTAAACCTCAAGTGCCACTTAAGAGCCATGAGTGCGCGTGGTGAGATATGATCTGCTCCAAGAGGTAGTGATGTCTAACCAGTTTTCACAAAATAGTTGGTTATGTCAGCATGTAATAAGAAAGTTAATGCGTCATCTGTTGAGGCATTCCATCATCAACACATAGGCCAATAAACCTCTCTCTATTCAGACGGCTAATCAGCTTTTTTTCAGACGGCTCATATGGGCCTCAATTCTTCAGTCTTAGTTCCAAAAATTAATCAGCCTGTATTCAAGCGGCTAATCAGCCTGTATTCATGCGGCTAATCAGCCTGTATTCATGCGGCTAATCAGCCTCACCTCAGACGGCTAATCAGCCTCAGTTCAGACGGCTAATCAGCCTCAGTTCAGACGGCTAATCAGCCTCAGTTCAGACGGCTAATCAGCCTCAGTTCAGACGGCTAATCAGCCTCAGCTCAGACGGCTAATCAGCCTCAGTTCAGACGGTGGTGAACCAGCTGCCCACAGTGGATCTGAAGTAGGTGCGTATTTTCTTGCAGCGTCTCTTTGACCTGTGATGTCCTCTGCACCACCACAGCAGCAGCACCACAACGCTCACCACCACCACCACACTGTACAGCAGCCGGTCCTGGCCTGACACGCTGCCCGGTAGGGTGGCCAGCCAACTGCTGTCCAGCTCCTTCTCTGTAACATTTCACATATATACTAAAATACCACACAATAAATAATCTTTCTGCTTGAATTTAGTGGGAACAAGAATTGCTTACAATGGGTAGATTTCAGCGGACTACTAAATTCCGTACTAAATAGTTTCCTAAACATTGCAACGAATTTATTCTCAATTTAAATTCGTTAGATACGAAACATCTTAATGAATTTTTATTGCAAGCCAATGCTAGTAGAAATCAACTCTTCATTAAATTGTACGTGATAAAAATCATGTAGTTTTAAATCATTTAGTTTTAAATTGTACGTGATGAAAATCATGTAGTTTTGATGATCATGTAGTTTTAAATCATGTAGTTTTAAATTGTATGTGATAAAAATCATGTAGTTTTGAGGATCACGTAGTTTTAAATCATGTAGTTTTAAATTGTACGTGATAAAAATCATGTAGTTTTGAGTATCACGTAGTTTTAAATCATTTAGTTTTAAATTGTACGTGATAAAAATCAAATAGTTTTGAGGAGAGAAAACTAGGAACCGACGCGCAAGATGGTCGTGCTGCTGCAGGTGTGGAGGCAGTGGCGGCTGCAGCTCAACAGGCAGCACGGCCGACAGTACTTCAGGCTGCGACAGCAGCTTCAGCCCCACGTGAATGTTCGCGCTGATACACAAAAACGTAAAAAACCATCATTAGTTAGAAACTAAACGTATAACCAAGAGAGTATTTACCATATAATTCATAAGAAACTCTGTTAAAAAAACTCATAAAGTGAGGGAAATGCAGTTCTCAGCAAGGTCTCGAGTAGTGAGAATGTCATCGCTATCTTTTATCGTAAATATTACAGCAAATACTGTTCTAAAAAGTAAATGTCTGATCAGAGCGGAGAACGGACTTTCTCCGCTCTGATCAGAGCGGGTCTGATCAGATCTGATCATAAGCAAATCGTGGAAAGGAAAGAAAGTCATTCTTAGAATAATGAGATCCCACCTTTTGCTGGAAGTGTTGAGGGGAACAGGAGTCGAGGGAGTGAGTGAGGGACATGAGGGTAGTGGCCGTGTTTGTTCCAGTCCAATACTAAGCTCCAGGACCTGATAGAATAGAGAATAAAAATAATTTAAATTAAGTTCGATTGGTATCAATTTTCACGCAACTTATTTTGCTTTAGCTGAGCAGAAATCGTATGAAAAAGTTCACAGATCGATAAAGTTGAAGAGGTTTCAACAACAAAGATAAAAGTTTAATCAAACTGAGTAAATTAGACCCAAAGATTAAATAAAATCACCTTGCTGTGTCGATGAAGAGTACTTTGCTCCATTCTTTTAGGCAGTTCTTCGGTGAAAATTGCTTCTTTGCTTCCACTGCCTCCTGAGAACGTACCGGGCAAATGTCCCGTCATGCTGAACTCTAAGATTGCAGACAACAGCCAAAAACAATCTTTTTGCAAGTGGCTGTTGTCGAGACAGTTGCTGTCACCGTACACGACCACGCGACCGCTCTCGCCGCTGCTGCCAGCTTTGCTGTTTGCGTGCTTCTTGTCGTCGTTTTTGTTCAACATCGTCCGGATTTCGTTATCTTGCGCGCTCGGATTTTGGAGGCTAAGTAGTGATTTGTGGAAGGCATTTGCTTCGTCGGCATCCACATTTGGATCTTGGGTATGAATACCGTTATTTCGATGCAGGAAATTTATTTGTGCATGCGGTTCATCACTACTCTGATTGTTGTTGTTCTTGTTGGAATTGCGATGGCTGTCATGTATCCTATCAAATGGAGGATCCAAGACGTGTTGTTCTCTGGCAGTATCGTCCTCGTCGGCTTCATCAAGATTATTGACGTCCAGGTTGTGGTTATGGTGGAAGACATCCAGAGAATCCACTTCGGTAGCCAGGTTGCGCTCGGAGTCATCTTTGTTTATCATCACCGAACCAGCATCAGTAATAGATTTCAGTATCTTCGTGCGACCTTCGTCATGGTCAGTCTCTGCAAGACGCGATTTCTTCGTTCCAGACGCATCAAATTTTTGAATAACGTCCTCCTTATCCACCAAATGCCACTCGCGTTCGTCTTTTTCACCATTCATTGCACCAGAAGTGCGTACCGCGTCTTCCCGGTAATGATTCTTCGACAAATTTTCCTTCAGGAAAACCCCTTTGTTTTCGATGGCAGCGTCAGGCAATGGAAAGAGGTTGGATGTAGCGATAAAAGCCTTAGCGGAATCAGGAACAAGATCCTCGACTGAGTCTGTACGAGACAGAGCGCTGGACTTGGTCTGTAGCAGGCCCAGAATCGGCACGTCCATTTCCACCCTGGCCTCCCCCTCGAGCATTTCATTGCCCAGGTCCGAGAGGCTATGGGCGCGAACCACGTGACCCTCGCTGGGGAACCTTGCGATCGATGTTCCCGTCGCGTAATGCACGCCCCTGGGTAGCGAATATCACAAATGAAATACAAAGTTCCTAATTATGTGTAATCATCGTTCAAGTCGTCAAAAAATTCACAACCATAGACCTTCATCTCAAATCGTTACGCAATACATTTTAATAGCAATTTGAAATACAAGTATTCAAACAAAAACAAGGGATAAGCAACTAGAATTTAGTCTACTGTGAGAATTATAGAGTGGGTCATAAAAACGATGGGAATTCAGAAATTATCGAGATGTTTCACACTGAAAATATGAATAGTAGGATAAAAATTCCGGGCATTTATCATATTAGAGTCAATAAGAAGGGCATTCAGTGTTCAGGTTATTAATCGCTAGGTTTGTGAAGGGAGTGAAGAGCGTGAGGTTGGTGAAGGGAGTGAAGAGCGTGAGGTTGGTGAAGGGAGTGAAGAGCGTGAGGTTGGTGAAGAGAGTGAAGAGCATAGGTTGGTGAAGGGAGTGAAGAGCGTGAGGTTGGTGAAGGGAGTGAAGAGCGTGAGGTTGGTGAAGGGAGTGAAGAGCGTGAGGTTGGTGAAGGAAGTGAAGAGCGTGAGGTTGGTGAAGGGAGTGAAGAGCGTGAGGTTGGTGAAGAGAGTGAAGAGCGTGAGGTTGGTGAAGAGAGTGAAGAGCGTGAGGTTGGTGAAGAGAGTGAAGAGCGTGAGGTTGGTGAAAGGAGTGAAGAGCGTGAGGTTGGTAAAGAGAGTGAAGAGCGTGAGGTTGGTGAAGAGAGTGAAGAGCGTGAGGTTGGTGAAGGGAGTGAAGAGCTCATGTTGGTGAATACAGCACCCACCGGTCGGCCAAGGAGAAGTCGCCCTCGAGGACGGCGTCAGAGAAGGCGATGCCCCAGGAGTCCAGCAGTTGGTTGAGGGCGGGAACGTTGCTGCCTCCAGTCACCGGCATCCACAGCTGCCTGCATCGCAGCCAGGCAGTGATAAGGGCAACTATATATAATATCACGAACTGTCTACCATCTTCCCTGGTTAAATAAACCATCTACCTAATTTTAAGGAAGATAGTGGTACGAACAATACAGTCTTTAATGAAAGAATTGAGCCAAGTACCTACAACTGTTGACATACTATCTGGATATAAAGGCGGAATTAAAAATATTATCTTGATGAACAGATGAAACGAAATATACACTATTTTGATGGACAGGTGGAATGAAATAAATAATATCTTGAATAACAGATGAAACGAAATACATATCATATATATTTCTCTTCCGTAATACGGTATCGAATTTATTTGCTAACTGTATTCAGAGTAAATAGTGTTCCATGAATCTTGAAGACAGACAAAAACTGATGAATTCAAACTTAATTCCATCTTCTACTATGCTTGATTGATTTTACTTTAAATACAGTTCATTTCTACAAAAAAATTAAAATATTTCACTTCACATTAATCATGCAGAAATTTTCTTAGGATTGAAGTAGCAAGTGAAGCTTGCCTCTTTATTGATGGTAACGTGAGACAATAAATCATTCAGTCATTCAGAAAGAAATTATATTCAGTAAGTAATTCTACAAGTTCTGGGTCCAAAAAGTTCGAAGCCAATACATTAATATTACCACATTGAGCAAGGTTGCCGAGGTCAGATGAAGGATCAGCAATAAACTTTTTCATCATCAGCAAAGAACTTATTTATCAGCAGCCCGAGACCGAGACTCACTTTGTATTTTCATCGTAGAATTTGACCTTCCTCATTACGGAGACGTTGTACCAGTCAGCGAAGACAACAACTGAGAGGCCCTCAGCCACGTCATTCCTGAGCTTGGTGATCTCTTCAGGGAAGTATTCCTCTTCAGCGTCAACGATGAGCAGAGTCCCGTACTTGGAGGCGTCGAAACAAGTGAAGGGATGACCAAGAACCTCGACGAAGTATCCGCTGTGTCGTAAGTGCTCGTACATGTCTTTGAAATTGGTGTGGATGTGGTCGGCATTCCAGTCCAAGGGGTCACTCTTCATGCGGAGGTTGTCGCGGGGGAAATATCCTGGCGGGTACCTGCAAGGAAACACAGTCCTTATATATACATCGCACGATATTCACTAGACAATGTATATCTTAATGAAACGTGCCAATGTAAGTACATAAATGAAAAGGAAGGTCTAACGGAATTAGATGGAAAAATTAGCAGCAGCGTAGTATTATAATCATTTAATCTACACCAATAATGAGTGTCCAAAAATAAAACTTTCACCGGTGCTACAGTGAAAGGGAGAAATATTTCAAAGGAGTCCGTATATCAGAAATTGGTCTGGCAAACTATGAGAAAGGTTAAAATTATTCAGTTTTAGAGTTAACAGTTTAGTATGATCAGGAAAGCTAAGGACCATAAAATACCATATTAGACATTCAACAATTAACGCGAACTGCGTCGTTATATTATAAACACCTAGTAATTTTTACGAAACGATTCAAGATCCTAAGAGAAGTTAATTAGCTTATTTGTTGGCCTGATGGCTAAATACCTATCGTACTAGGTGAAATTCTGATAATAAAAGTAGAATCGGAAGTAAATTTTACCTGAGGTTATGAAACTGATCCCAAAGAATGCGCTTATGGCGAGGAGGAGTAGGTATAATCCTGGCTTTGAGAGGAAGTCTCACTTGAGAGACACGAGGCTCAGTCTCGCCTTCTTCGGGAGGCGACTCAACCGTCACAGAGATGTGGCCGGTTGCTACGCCTTCGAAGTCCTGAGCTCCCTCCTTCACCCAAATCCAGACGGCGAGCCAGCCACTCCATGGCCACAGGACCTCACTGTGCGTGAAGCCTACGGTGAGTAGCTCCCCGTTTTGGGGAGTGTAAGGATGCCATACGGGGCCGCGCACGATCCTCCCACTAACACCCATCCCGTTCAGAACTGTCACGTTCACGATGGTCGGGGCCGCTGAGTAGTACAAAGGCTGCGTGCAGTACGGCCACATGTACTGACACTCAGTGAGATCGATGTAACTGGGACTCAGCGATGCTTGAGGTCGATATTTTGCTAATACTTGGTAAGCGCGCACCAAGTCGAGCTTGCCGTGTCCTTGCTCGAACATTGTGACGCCAGGAAGCCGCCTGGCGGAAGCCATAAGCGCCTGTTTCATGGACGCTGGGTTGATCAGATTACCACGGTGTAGGACGCCACTGGCTAAGAGAGCTACAGCGCCCGCCACAACTGGGGATGCTACAGAAGTGCCACTCAACTGGCGACATCTGCCATCGCTACTGCTTCCATAGACATTAGAGCCATAGGTCACGAGGTCGGGTTTGACACGTCCGTACCCATAAGGTAGTTCCCACGTGGTCATGCCTCGAGATGAGAATCTTGCTATCTGGTCCTCGAAATTGATCCCTCCGACACCTATTACATCCATCTGGTCAGCAGGGTTATTAAGGGTACCATACAGAGGACCGTCATTGCCGATGGCCGACACCATTATCACTCTATTGGCGGTCAGCTCCCACACCTTGTCAACAAAAGGATGATCCATGAAGTCTGGCCCGCCGATGCTCAAATTAAGAACATCAACTTTCTTAAGGATAGCGTAATTGAAAGCATCAAGAAACCAAGACGTATAAGAGACTTGCGTGTTTGTAAACACCCTGTACACATGCAACTCTGCGTCAGGCGCTAAACCAAGGCACGCTTTATGAGTTGAAGCCACAACACCAGCAACAAAAGTCCCGTGACCCAAACCGTCATCAAGAGTTCGCTCGTTGGTCCAGTTTGTTCTTTCGCGAATTTTACGAAAATGAGGATGGTTTTTGTTCAGTCCAGTGTCAAAAATAGCAACTTTGATTCCAGTGCCAGTGATGTCACGCTGCCAGAGTTCTTCGGCTTGCAGAATAGAAGTTATTTGTCGAGGTACAGCACGCAATAATCTTCTGCTGCTGTGTCTACCAGTTGACTGCCAAAACGCATTTCCCAGTGTAAGAGATGACCGGTGAAAAGGACGAGAACCAGGCCATATTTCTTCCTTATCAAAATCATTTGCTACAAGCGGGTCAAAGCTAGCTTCAGGCTCGTCGTAGTCCTCTTTAATTTTTGTTCGATCGTCCATTGAGTCTTCCTTGATGGGTTCATGAGCAACATTTCCATCGGTTTTCTTATGATTTAGAGTGTGTAACTTATTATGCAAAGGCTGCACAATAGCATCGTCCTCAACCCCAAGAACTGATTTGTAGTATTCACTTGATTTGGATTCCACATACGAGGTCGATTCCATATCATCTTTGCCTAAAAATTCTTCATCCAAATCTGGGCTTGCGTCATTGTCTTTTAAATTATACAGAGAATCCACAGAGAAAATCTCTAAGTCATCATCTTTCGAATTTTTTTCTAATTCTAAAGGCGTACTGCTATTGCCAAAATAAGAGCCATTTGAGTCGTGAGGCATGTCCTTACGAGGCTCAATTTGGACGTCCATATCGTTGAAATGGTTGCTTGCTTCATTACTTTGGAGAGGATCAAAATCTTGCACCGCATTACCAGCCTCATCAAAATAAGTGAGATGTCTCACAACCATTCGTTGAGGTGTAACTCTCTTCACTGCAGGATGGTCCTTTAGAGAGTTCAAACCAGGCATTGCATGATGATGTTCTTCCAGCTGCCAAAGTAATGCAAGAACGAGTTAAGTCACGTAACTCTTGATTGAGTAACATGTTAACACCTGAATATTTTGCATACTATGAATGCAGAAAACTTGTTCCATCATATGAGACCATGCACAGAAATTTACCTGAACACAATCCATTAATAGATGGACAATTAATATTTTTGAGGACACAAACAATACAGAACCATACAAAACGCCAAAGTGAAAAAAAACAAATAAGCAAATTTTATAAATAAAAGGCCTCCACTTGTCACTTGAATTTATACAACAGACATACGCACCTGGATTACATCAAAATCACTAGGGTAATCTGCAGCGGGGTTGTCCCTGGGTAACACTGTCCACCGCTGGACACCAGAGTCTGCCAAAGCTGCCTCTATGAATCTGTGCCTAGCTTCGGCTTGGTAGTATCCAGAGAAGCCAACAATGTACTCTGTTGGTAGGCATAATTTTCTTTTTACCACAATATATAACTAGTAGGCTTGCAATTTCCAACTTGCACAAACTATTTTCATCAATATAAATTAATTTTCATCATATACAAATTTATATATTGCATCACTAGCAAATAGATCTTTAGCATCATCTACACCAGATTTAACCATTACCTATATCTTCAAAATAGTATTGTGACAGGCAACAGAAATGTTAAACTGCAAAATACTTACCATTTTCAACAATACTAGATGAGTAGGAAATCTTGACTTGCAAAGGAGGCTCACTGGAATTGCAGAAGGCCGAGTGTTTTCGGAGCTTTCCATTTGCCTGCTTTGAACTTGGAGAATCTGATGGAATTGAGCTAGGAGCTCCCTGGTCTTGAATGCTACCATCCAAATAATCAGTAGAATCGCTATCATGTTTGTCATCATAACTTTTCATAGGCTGGGAAATCTCATCCACTACAATTTCTGAAGGTTCAATGTCATCTGGCTGCATCCAGAGGGTCCTCCTCATGGGCATCTGCAGATCTAGCGGATATGACTCAACACTGTCAGAAATGCCACCAGCATATGACATGTCACTACATGTCTGGGTGCTGCACTCAACATCTTCTGGGGAATTGAGTTCTTGTCCATTCATAAAATTATTCTCATTGTCAGCAAAAACCAAGATGGGATGCATAAAGTATAAAAGAATAAGAAAATAACTAAAAAACTGGCCTGGATTCATGCTTTGGTTACTCATGTCTTGAAGGTTATGTGAAGCCTTGTCAGCCAGGCAAGTATAAAAATGATCCTATAGCATTGTTTTTCATTGCTCATCCATAGTTTTAGAAATACATTATGTTCTTTATTAACACATAAGTTATATATGTTAAGTTATATCTATCTAAGGTCGCATTGATTACCAGCTTCATTTCAGATGTAATTAAATGTATCAGTTCATCTGAACAATGTGGAAAATTTTTACCAATTTTCATGAGGTAACAGAATTACATACGAGGCCACTCTCCATGCATTAAATTGGGAGCACTTCATCGCCGATGAATAAAATTCATAAAGATCTGAAAAATGTGAATTCAGTATTACATTCTTATCATATGTTATTCGGCATTTGTATGAGCCATATTTGGAAAAATTCATAGTAGCCTTCAAAGTGTTCTTTGATAACCACCAAACTAACAACAGTACCTATTAATTATATATATAAATGATGTGAGATACCATCAAAAGGGGTAAGAAGAGACAGTCCTCTAATATTTCATATAAATGTTGTAGCAGCTAAATTGATTAAAATAAAGGAAAACTAAAAATAGTATAATAATGTAAAAGTGTTATTTTTAGGTTTGCAATATTACAATTAGTTTAGTTGCTACAACATTTCTAAAAAATGTTGAAGGACTGTTCCAATTTACCCTGCCCATCCCTTATTGCCCCATTTGATGGTATTAATTGATTTCCCATGAACTATATTCATGAGAAATACTTGTGAACTGTATTAATTGCACTATTAAAAAATAACAAATATAACTTAATAAAATAGTACAGTATCACTCTGCTCATCTATACATGTGAAATCATTTATAGGAAATACGATAATGCAATTAATATTTTACAGGAAGAAAGTCAAGTGCATGCAGTAACTGAACAATCTAGCGGCAGCCAAGTGCTCCAATGAGGTCAAGAGTTCAGAGAAGCAGAAATAGTTTTCTTTGTATAACCTTGCTTCAAGTATCTCTCTTATCATATGAACTTGGTAAATAAATTTTAATTGGCCAAAAACCTTGCTCAAAAATCTGATCGGTATGGTTGGTTTGGTAACACTTGGTTTGTAGAAGCCCCTTGACAGTGATTGCTAATTTCAAATACTAGACATGTGTTCATGCTACAAATTTATCATAAAAGTTGTATCCCCATATTTCCATGATACGTTACAAGTGAAATTCATCACAATTAACCCTTTAGCAGGTAAGTTACCATATATGGTAATTAAAATGGGAGTAAAAAAGGCCCCCACATCACCCTCATTGCTTTGTGCACCCTGCCAACAAGCTCCAACCAATCACAGATCATGTAAGACTTGTGTCATGTATGACGTAGCACTCTTGATGCACTCTTGTGTCTGTGTGAGCTAAATTAAAAACTAAGTACCCTGGAGAAATGGCAAAAATGGCATTTTGGGCCCTCATCATATTCACTTTAGCAGATCTAGCCCACGAAGAACTGTAGGTATGTCCATGATAGTTGCGAGTATCATAGAAAAAAACTTGCTTTTTCAACTGATTAGGATGCCGTTTACTTGAAGCAAATGCAAGATGGTGAAATAAGATGGCGAAAAATAGTGTGATCATGTATGAGAGCATATGCCTGCCAATGCTTAGAGATAGAAGTGACTGTTTGGACATATACACGCCAGAGGTAAATTTCTACAACGCTTGGTAAATATGTTTGTTAGCCCTTAGTGGTTAGCCATACTATGATCGAAGTGATGTTTTTCATTCTAATGTACCATCAAACGGGGTAAAAAGGGACGGTATTGAGCATTTTTTGTCAATAACTTCTTACCATGAAACATTTCAGAAGCAAGTTTAGTCTCATTTTATAGCTCTTTGCGAGTTTTATCGAATGGCATCTTCAAAAAAATTCCATATGCTATTCGTAAGGTGCCAAACGCAAAATAAAACCGTCCCGATTTACCCCTGGGAACAGGATAATCTGGGACACTTGCAATAAAAGTTAATTTTAAAATGTTTGAAGCATGCAGAGTGTACTCATCCATTACTAACAGTACTCTGAAGTCCTCCTCTTTCATTGTAGATGACGTAGATGTAAAATAAATGACATTTTCTGTGATTTTTACTTGTTTTTCCTTTATTGATATGATATTACCATATTCATCAATGTACCGTAGGTATTATTAATGTGATATTACTGTATCCATGGACATACCATTGAGCATTGACAACAAACTTGTCCACTGCAAGCTTCATATCAGCAGCCATGTAGCATTTCTTCTGTATCTTTAAGCTTACAGGATGGTTTGTAATTTCTCACAATTTTAATCAAATCTATCTATCTATAACAAAAAAGATTGTGAAAAACATACCTGAAACAGAAAATAATGTTTTAGTGACAACATCATATCTTTTGGAGAAATAAATCACAGTTTAGGTCAATTACTTTTCATTCTATGATGCCCGGTGCACAATTCTATATATAGCATTCTATGTACAATTATGTGACGACCGATGATGCACTAATTTTTTGTGGCTGCAATTTTTTTTAATGAGATAGGCAAATTCCGTCAATTACGTTTTCAAGCCGACACCAGGCTGCAACTTTTATTTAAGTAAAACTTTTTATTACGGCAAATATTTTTTTTGCTCCAGACCTTAGCAGAGGTACTTTTCCAAAATTGCACTTTTCACACTTTTTTTCAGTGCTTTTTGGAGATAGTAAATGTTTGATTTCTTGACTAGCTTTATACATAATAGATACCATAGTAAAAATGTTGAAGCTTACGCCACTATTTTTAGTTTTGCAATATTTTGATTAGTTTAGCTGCTACAACATTTCTACGAAATGTGGGACGCGCTTCCCGATTTACCCCGCCCGTCCCTTTTTACCCCGTTTGACGGTGCGTAGGGTTTACCACTTATTGCTTTCCCAGGCTTTGACTGCAGTCCAAGCTCATGGCATTTCCTTCGCTACAGAACATAGAGCCAACGTGGTTGCAAGCAAGATGGTCTCTGCACTACCCAGACAATAACATGTCCTTCACCAATACTAATTCATACAGACAATTTTATCACAAGTTTTAGGTATATGTTGTATATGAATGTGACTCTTTACATGCAGCATGGATCTCTCATTATATAGATGGTCTGGAAATATCTTGCCATAAAATACTAAATATTCCTATAATTTTGTTTTATCTTTATTGCTTCCTCTGTAGGTACGGTATATGTTATAATACAAGCACAGAAGTTCAGTCAAGTTGTTTTTAACATCTAAATAGTAAACTTTCAATGTCAAAATCAGCAAATTTTTCTTACCAGTTAAGCCGGCAAGGCCCCATATATGATCACTTCATTTATTGTGATTTACTATTTATTTACAGAATTTGAAAAATGAATGAGTAAATATATCTTAGAATTGGTCATACTTTTAAGTACAATCATCAAATATTGCAACTTCAGTGAATTTCTATGTTGGCCTGGGAAAGGGTTAAAGCATGCAGAGTGTACTCATCCATTACTAACAGTACTCTCCTCTTCCTTTGTAGGTATATAATGTAAGTGTAGAAAAAATTAAATTTTGTGTGATTTTTACTTTATTGATATGATATTACCAGAGGTGGGCAGTAGCGCGCTACATGTAGCGGCCGCTACATTTTCAGTAGCGGTAGCGGCTCTAAATTTAAGGCAATGCAGTAGCGGTAGCGCCCGCTACATATTTAAGTAGCGATACGAGGTTTTGTTGCTACAGCGCTACCGCTACATTTATAGATAAAGCCTTTAGATTTTACTTAAGGGGACCGGCTACCCTCCAGCAAAACTTTTTTTTTACAGACGGATCGTTTTGCAACTTGGTACACATTTGTACAACAGAAATCTAAGAACTTTTTGTTCATGTAAATTTAACAAAAAATGAAAGAAAACGTGGAAAAAATAGAAAACGGCAAATAAGGGGGTACTCTAAAAAAGTTTATAACTTTTGCAAATCACATGCTACAATGTCGAGACACATATCATTCGATTTGTAACAACAATATCTAGTGACTGTACAAGCCCCAATTTTTTTTATTTTCCTCATCGTTTTTTTTCGCATTCTTCCCATTTTTTCACATTTTTACCCCCCCCCCTTCTTCCCCCACCCATATATAAGTCAAACCATGCACATATTAAAAAAGGGCTTCTTGAGTCACTAGGTATTGTTTTTACAAATCGAATGGTATGTCTCTCATTGCCGTAGCTTGAAAACTGTTGGAGTTATAATTTTTTTAAGATGGCGTTTTTTTGGATTTTTAAATTGTTCAGGGGAGCCAAATTAAGTAAACTTAATTGAAAACAGAAGAATATGCCCAAAAAGTCTTGATATTGTAGCCCAAGCTTTACCATTGCCAATTATTTGCATTCAAGGTACCAGCACACGTCTTTAGACCTATTTATATTCAATTTAACGTGAATAATAGGCTATAAATGGGACTTTTTATATATTAATATACCTATATATATAAAATATTCATTTTACATAACTTTACAACTGCATTACGCAAAAACTATTGCATGAACATCCATGGTAGTAGCTTTGTTAAACGCGTCTTGTTTGTAGCTTTCAAACGAGTGCAAACACTTTGCAATTAACCCAAATAATGACATATAAATACCATTTATTTGTAAATAATGATATAAAAGGATCATTTTATAAAAGTTCAAGACTGCATTACACAAAAAAGTATTGCATGTACATCTATTGTAGGTAGTAGCTTTGTTGAACGCGTCTCGTTTGTAGCTTTCAAACG